CAAGGGTGCATTGTTTGTGTTCAATTTTAGAAACATTCTATATCGCATTCATTAGAGAACTGTTTAGTGAACCTGTCCTGTAAATTTCTTCCTTCTTTGTTGCTTCATTATAAAATCAGAAACAAAAAGAATGGTGTTCCTTTAACTTTTAAGGGGCAGTGTATATATCGATAGGAAAGGTTCGGTTGTATATATCCACGATATCTGGAATATATATCCACGATATTTGGAATGGATAAATGACGTGTACCGAGATACGACTGCATTTTGGAAAATAAAAAGAAAACGCAATTAAAAATAGTCGCACGCAAATCATTTCAAAATCATTTTTACTTGTTTAGTTCATTTTGTTACAATTTCAAACTACGTGTGCAGTGCGTCACGTGCACTAAATAACACTTGGAAGAAAAATTCAACACAGTTTCAATGGAAATGATCAGTGTGGCGATTAAAATAATCTACAACTTCAAACACGAAAATATATATACACATTTTTTCAACAGTTCATCACTTGATGAAGAACCAAATATATGATGATGAATTCGCATGTGCGATTGGATGACGTCATCTTGAATAGAATTCAGAACTCAAAATTATACAGTCAATGCTAATAACAATTAATCAAGTACAACCATCAAAATTAATTCAAAAAGATTCTTGAACAAAAACTCCTTTGTAAATCGTTACATTTAACCAGTTTAATAACACACTAAAATTTTGTAATATTTGCACGAAAAGAAAAGTACTAAGTATATAAATATCTTCATATTCAACAGCTGAAAAAAAAAAGAAGTTTGAAACCTTGACTTCTGATTGTTTGAAACTTTCTAAGTTACTAGTAATATTTTGCAGTACCTGGTATATACGTTTTCCTAATAACAGATAATGAAAAACATTGGGTACTTTTCGGTTAACGGGACTTTGCACGGTAAAGCGCCAAATGTAAAAGCCTGTTTACTTTCATGAAATTAGCCATGCAGTGATGTCTTTACAAATAAGTGGAGAGTATGAACTTCAAAATATGTTATATTATCTTTCTCAACTACGTTTTTCTTGATTTACTTTAAAGAAGAAATAACTAGGGATTACGCGATCTGGCAGTTGCCAAATAATTAAAAATGACTTCCAAAATAACGGCATTCATAATGAAAGACTGTTTGGAAAATCCACAAAATAAAATTCTAGTTTACTACTTCTGGAACGAAAGATTGCCTCGCTAAAATAAAGGTAGAATAGCAATTGCTGGTTTAAAATTTCGCGAATTCTTTTTCCTCCTTTCGGCTTGTTTTGTTTTGGTATTAAGAGCTACGTTGGTAGAATTTTCTGTCGGTTGTACCTAGGAACGAATCATCGTAGAACTGTCGATTCGAATATATATTCGAACATATGCTCTTGAGAATTTCTCTATACACATTTCCTTTTTGATTCAATAAAATATCCATTCTTTTTATGACGCTGTATATATCGTTAGGATTGCTCTTCCTATCTGTAGTTAGAACTCGAGCCAGTATTTACATTTGGCGCCAAGTGGCTCTCTGTTAACTGAAAAGTACCCAAATCCGTTTGGACTTGACTTATATCTACATCATTTTCGTAAATGTAAGTAAATATAAAGACAACTTTAATAAGAATGATGTCTTTCGCTCTTTACTATTGGTTCTAATACTGTCAAAGCTAAGTTGATGTTTGGCAATAAAAACGATTTTAAGTAGCAGTTACGATTTTATTTATATACTTGGAATATATTAGTAAAATTGCGTATCAAAATTGACAAATGCTACCAATATACAAATTAAACTACCGAATGAGCTCTGATCAGGTTTTGCTTTTTATTTTTTTTGGGGTATTCATAGGTAAATATTTTAGAAAATGGAAATTTACAAGCTTCTTAAAATATATTTTCTCCTTGTACTTCAATGATATGTATATTGCTTTTTAGATAGTACAACTGTATACCGCTATATCGAGAATACTAATTAAAGCTAGTTCACGTGGTCCCCCTAGTAAGAGTAGTTTTTGGTGCTGAATTATTTAAAAAGACAAGAGTGTATTAAATATTCTTGTGTATTACTTTCAACACTTTTCAGTGATTATTTGGCTATAATTTAAAAACAATTTCAATGTTTCATTGCAACTAGCACTTCAGATGTTTTGCAGAAATTGCTAGCTCTTGGAAGCGATTACGCGATTGGTCGCAGTTATCTGTCATATAACTTGCCTTTGATTTCTCAAAGGACGTGCATAATTTTGTTCATTTGATTTTGTTATGAATTCGCTCTATATTTTGTCACAATTGCGAATAGTTTTAAGAAGACATAAAACGAATTAATTGGAGACTGATCTAAATGTCAGTACATGTTAAATGCTTTAGAGGCAAAATAAAAAAAATTACATTATTTAACCAAGAACATGGGATTTTCTTAATATGTCTTTTTAAAAATAAAAGATTTATAGGAATATAAGATGGAAAAATCTAGCATTATTTTTTTTTTCAAAAAATCACATAACTCAAAAATTTCGAAAAATAAGAACACGATCCGGTTATTTGCATTTGCATTGTAATAAGCTGTGGACAAAGAGTTTCAATAACATTCAAAGAATAAAGTAGGAACTATTTTGAATTTCGAAATAAAATATACACCTGTAGACGTTTAGAAAAAATTAAATTTGGAAAAAGCATTTACATGAAATTGGTTTTTACTTTTTGTTTTTATGAAAAAAAAAACTTTATTCTAATTTTGCTGACAAAAATAAGGAATAGTTAGGAAATTATGACTTACTTTGCTGTTTAGTAATAAGACGAATTTAATTTAAGGAAAACGGTAGCTCCCGCAGAAAATATCTAAAATGTGCATTTAGCAAAGTGTTTCCAAGATATATGACATAGATACTAAGTATTCCCCCGCAAAATGATTATTACTATTATTATACCGTCATAATGTTTAGATTTTTTGGAGTCCTGCATTATAGAGTTTGACGTAAAAGAAAGAAACAACAACAAACAAACAAACAAACAAAAAACTCTTAGTGTACTGTAACAGCTTTAAATAGTATTAAAATCTTGCAGTTTAAATAATTTAAATAGATGAACATTAAGGTATATGTGAATGGCAATATTTGAAACCAGACTCGAGTGCGACGTGCGACTCTCGCACGAAGAATGTAATTTATTTTTAAATGTTAGAATATGTTTTCTCTTCTTGTTTGTATGTCGCCATTTTTGAGTGTTAAATAAAAGTTATTGCTGTGTTTCATTATTGGAGTTGCTTCATATCGCCAAAGAAGCATCACAGTACAATTAAGGATAATTTGGCTGTGTAAAATCTGTGCACAAATTTTAAAGTAATACAGTTATGCTGCGTACGTGGTAATTTCCTAAGGAGAAGCAGTTGAATAATATAAGAATAATTTCGAATATATAAAGAATATACGTTTTGGATTATTACTAGGGAAATGCATGTATTTAACCGATAAAGTCCTAAAATGCGTTCATATTCCTTATTGTTTTTAAATATTATTCATATATTCACAATTAATTAAATAAGCTTATTTATCAAAACTCTCCTTTCTAACCATTTTTCTTCTCCTTATTTCATTTTGTTTTCTTTACAAAAACATTTTCTTATATTATTTATTTTGAATTAACATTTTCTTAACTTAAATTAACATTTTCTTACATTTCTGAACATTTTCTTATATTAAGGGGACTCATACACCTTAAACTCCTTATGATCTTCGAATATGTGACTGTTGCAAGAATTGGGATATTTTTAGTCCAAACGGGCTTTGTCCCTGAAGGACTATTGTTTTCGTTTTGCGATTTTGCGTCGGACTCCTATAAACGTCGGTTCACTTTTCAAACTGTTTCCACAAAAATGTTAGAGTCCCTGCATTATATTTGAAAGAATTAAATAATGAAAAATCTGCATAAATGATTGTCTATTTCTCGGATTGTGATAAAACGGTACATAGGGCCATCGAATTTGAATGACGAAATCCTACTGCGAATATGGGCATCTGAAATCCCAAATTTGGAATTCGTTTTATTATAGATTTTATATTTTGTAAAACTTTAACGAATTTTTGATTTACAAACTCAATGCTTTAAAAGCGAGAAATGGCAACGTTATATAGAAAAAAAATACTTTTTATCTCCAGCTCGCGAGACTGTGTATATCGGAAATTCTAAAGATATGCTTAATTTAACATTATTTTGCGATATTGCTCTTGAACTGAATTTTATGTTTCGTGCAAAAAACATGATATTTAATAATAAAGATAACACTCAAACGTTTAAAAAAAAAAACGCCCCTTTGGACGTAATTTAAATCTGAAAAATTTCAGATTTTTTTTAAATTTATTTTAAAGCAATTACTTCCAACGTTTTACATCTGACTGCATAATATAGCTGCTTTGGAAAAATAATAACCAGAACGTTTGTGTTGCCCAAATTTTTTATAATTTAATCCTCTTTGTGACAAAATATTTTCGCCATGTTTCCACCTTGCGCGCTGATATTTTTAAGGCTAGTGGTTACCATACTTGAAATTTGATGGAAGTCTTTATATGGCCACTACTTTCTACGAACCAACAATCTATGATATTTTAATTTTGAAAATTTTATGGACGAAAACATTAAACATTATTTAACAAAATCCATTTTATAAACTAACTCAAATAAAACAAAAATTTAACATGAAAATTTTAGAGGTTTTAGGTTCACAGTAGTTTCCAAATGTTATAAAGCTATATATTAAATATGGAATTAAATTATGAAACAATGTTTTAAAACTGTGCGCGCAAGTTGGAAACATCACGAAAAATGTTGTCACAAAGGGGATTAAATTATAAAATATTGTGGCAACACAAACGTTCTGATTACTATTTCAGAAAGCAGCTATATTATGTAGTCAGCTGTAAAAAGTTGGTAGTAATTGCTTTTAAAATAAATAAGTTATCCCAATTCTTGCAACAGTCACCTATTCGAACATCTTATGGGTTTTAAGGTGTATGAGTCCCCTTAAATTTCTGAATATATTCTTATTTTTCCTTTTGTAATAAATTTATATTGTATATCTTTTTCTCTGCTATAATTGTTTTTCTAATATACAGGGTGGCCGCCAGAGGGCAGTGTTCGCAGGCTTATGGGAGATTGGAAAGTGTGATCATTTCAGGCAAGCACGTTGTATGAGAAGAATGAATCGGTTCACTGTCTCAGTTCTTTATGGACATTGTGTGGAAAGAGTGTTGCCTGACTTGATGGTTAACGTTCCAGCAGCCACACTTTGTGGCATCTGGTTTTAGCATGATGGAGCGCCTGCACATTTTACCAGCACTTTATGGGAATACCTCGATAGGACATATCCTGATCACTGTATTGGCAGAGACGGACCATTCGTACGGGCACGGAAGTTTCCCCCAACTGACTCCTTCGGATTTCTATCTGTGGGGATACATGAACTCCATGGTGTACGAGACGACAGGAACATCGGACATGGATCTCGTCACTAGGAATCGTGAAAGCAGCGGCACGTGTCCTGTCCTGGAGTCTAAGAAGAGTAATATGGCATATTGGAGATGTTTGAGGATTGAGGAGTTGCTGTGAATCGATATATTTTGCAGAGCAGTCGTAGAGCGTGCAGCAGAGTCTACAGTCCGAGGCTGGCTGATAATTTGTAATGTATTTGGTCATCTTTACATCTGTACCCGATTTTTACAGCACATTCTTAATATAACTGTATGCCTAACATGTATGATAATAGTGAAAAGTGTTCCGCTTAGTCTCAGTCCCCACCATGCACCTTCTTTCCATGTTCTGGTCCTTACTTCAATGCTCCTCGTTTCATGGCTAATCCCCGGAGGACACAGTACTAAGCTCTTTTATTTATGTTTATTCATGTATTTATTTTTAGTTCCATCGACTGGATCCAACAGGCTGAAACGCACCTAACCCAGTGGGCCAGCTGTTCCGTCGATGGTGAAAAGAAAGTCCGAGGCTGAATGAGAGGAAGCTGGCTCAGTAAGCTGGTTGAAGGAGTGTAAGAGTGAGCGCTATTGGCTGCGGAGGAGAAATCCTATTGGGTGAAGTGTGATCATCAGTGAGCTAAGGGGGAGGGGCTCTCTAAAGCAGATCCATACTAATTTAGAAGGGCGATGAGTTGGGAAAACTCTACTATCGCAAGGAAAACTCTACTATCGGGCAGCCCACAGGGCAATTACTTCAAAGAGCCGAAACACGTCATACAAATAGTATGGTATTCACGGCACTTTGACTTGAATGAGGTGGAGAGAGGGGCGAAAGCAAAATAATTAACTAAGCCTGCTAAGAGTATGAGTATCAATTAATTTTATAAAAATTAAGAAAAATAATAAGGATTTGAACTGTTGGTAAAAATCCTAGCAGTTTGATATATTATAGTCTATTACTGCATACATAAATGAGAATTAAATTAGAATTAATAAATATATGTGTTTTTTTCTTTTTTGTCTTTTTTAAAATTTTAGTGAAGATTTTGTTTCTTCTGAGTATTAAGGTCTAGTTTTAAGCAGAAATTTGTTACGTTAATATTTTAGTTAGGTGACACTTCGGAGTATGATTTTAGGCCTTTTTCTGTGTCGCGGAGAACTGATGTTGCCTGTGAGAATTGGGATTGTTAGGTTTGTTGATAGTGTTGTGAAATTTCTTTGAGAGTTTAATTATAGCATCAATAATCAATGGTATTTTACATTCACTGTATATGGAGTCGTTTCTAATGTACCATATTAACACCTCTTTCGACTTCCTTTCTTTTTCCCCCCGCTACGCTTGCCAATACTGCCCTCTAGCGGTTGCTGTTCCCATTTTCGGATACAAGTTCTTACGTAAATCTTATTTCTGAGGGTACGAGAGACCAGCATGTTAAATTTGGCAACGACCTTTTGAGACACCCTGTAGATCTACACAAATATTTAGAGCATTCTTTTATTTAAAATGTTTCAATACGTCGAGTAAAATAAATGTATGTTATAGTATTGCTAATTAAACTGTTTTTGTTCATAGAACGTTAAGTGTAATTGGCTCAAACAAAACAAAACAAAACAAAACAAAAAATGTTTGGCTGCATCTACTTGCAATTTATGCTTTATTCTTTAAATTTGTTAACTATATCTTACTACTCAGCTGCATTTTAGTAATATAAGTAATGTAATTTTTAAAAAATTTCACATTGCAGTGTGTGGTATCATGTCACTTACAGATCTATCAAATTATCCACATAAAAATCAAGTCTAAACCAATAAATATAAATTATTCCTGAGCAATATATCTTTTAAATATAATGCAGTTGAACTTGCAATTCGCAGTGTAATTTATATTATGCTTTCACTCATTTTACATTTTAAACCTGTTGCCAGTTTTAAAACTAATTACTAAAACAATCAAGAAATCAAATATGAAATCCGGTAACCATGCAAATGCAAACTTTAATCTTTTGGAAGACATTAAAGTAATTGCTAAACTTGTCACGGCAGTCCAAAAAAACTGATAAAGTAAATATACTTTGAATTTCGTGTAAATATATACTTTGAATGTATATTTACACGAAAGATTTAGGATAAAAATTTGCATGTTAAAAGTTATGTGAAGATTTGAACATCTAAAAGAAAAGGCAATTAGCCAGGGCTTGACTATGCATTTAAGTAAGTTTTTCATAATGCCGATAAAAAAATCAATTGATTAAACGATCGCTAATAATTTAGCAAGCGAAATTTAGAACTTCAGAGCAGCTTTTAGTAAATACTTAGCTATCTCATTTATTTAGACTAATAATTACTGTATAATTTTGTACAAAACATGAAAAAGGCCTTCGAAATTTTTGTTATATACTTTTACAGTACAGCAAAATCTTCAACAGGCTAAATAATTTTGATTAAAATCTAACTAAAACTAGCATAAAAAAATTAATATCTATATAGCTAATTTATAAAAATAAATAAGAATTTGATCTTTTCAGCTGACATTATTATTTAAGATAAATATAACAACATAAAATTCAATAAATTACAGAAAATCAGCTGAAAAAGTTCCAAAATTAAAGTATGAGATACTCGTGATCACATCTCGAAAATGCAATGTAAATTGCAAGTGAAATTACACGAATAGAAACATGACGAGCAAAATATGAGCATGTTCCTTACGACATCGAGACATGAAGCACTGGGAAAGGAGGGGGGGAGGAAATTAAGCTCGACATTTCAATAAGATATATATGTTATATATGTATATATATATAATATTCTGCCTCGAATTTATACCTAAAAAATTCATATCACTTTCTGTACGTTTCTTTAAAAACTTTTCAAGCTGCCATTCGAATAATAAATACGATTCCATACAAACAAAACAATTTTTTTTGCTCCACGAGGCGAAATCAATGCAGAGTACATTTAGGATGTACACAAACAGATGTACAAAGACTGGGTGCTTGACACATAATTCTCACTAGCATATAATCCATAACTCGGCAGCACCGTTGTTAAAAAAAAAAAAAAAAAAAAAAAAAAACTGAGATATTGATAGTAACACTACGTTCATTTGTCCGTTTCCATACATTTAAGTAGACACAGCACAATGAATAACCGAGAGAATAGACACGGGAACACAGTGGGATGGCAGCGCCATCTTCTGCTCATTTTCGGAACTGTTCCACTCATGATTGATCAACTGTTAGATGACGGAAGATTTATTTTTTTAAATCTTCCTAGTTTCAAATTCTTCTTGCAGACTGTAAACATTCAGGCTTATTCTTCAACAAGCATCTTTCTGAAAATAAACAAACACATAAGTATGTATTGAAAATAATAAATTTACAACATAGAATCAGAATTAAAATGTTACTTCGTAAATCTCTATTCAAGTAAGTTTGTAACCCTTCCTACCTGACGTGATCAAAGAAATTGTTCAGTGACCATTTTAAATTGAAAGAAATTGTTCAGTGACCGTGTTGCCATTCAGTAAAATGTAAGTTATTTAAATAGTTAAATAATTTACATTTTACTGAATGGCAACACGTTGATGCATAGAGATAATAAGTATTTTGTTTTATGGCATGGAAACACACTGCTTTCAAATAACCGAATTTGTGGGTTAAAATTGAAAGCCTATAAAGTTTAGTTCTCTACGGAGCATACACTATAGACATTAAAAAGACTATTGAAGAATTACCTTCTAGTCATGTGAAACAGAACAAAGTCAGAAGAAGGGTGTTGAGACCCTTTTATTCGAACACAAAATTAACACCTATCCAACTTGGGTTTACATAAGCCAAGTACTTCTGGCTTGACAGAAATGCGTAACGTTGAACAATTTCAATTGTGAAAGATTAGTCTAAGAGCTCACAGAATAATTTAACGCCCAGGAAAGGCTCTGGTTTGTAGAAAAACCGACAAGACAGGCTAAGTGGCTAGAAGCGCGCAAAGCCACAGAATCAAATTGCAAATAATCACGGCACAGCATGGCCTGGAATAAGAACACCACACACTCTAACACTAACTTCCGAACTCTTGCTTAAATAGCACTTCTTTCTACCTTAATTTGAATAAACGCTCGCTGTCTCATTTACATTCTGGCATGAAAAGCGTGTGTGAAAAAGAGAGTGATAAGAAAGTACTGTTATGTTCTATACGGTTTCGTGGATTTGGAGTGATTGACAATAAAACTTGTTGAAGAATGAAAGGACAATTTATTATTAGCCAGTTATTATTCAGGACAGCTCCAAAAGCACGTTTACAGTCGTCGAAAAACTAGTACGTCACACAATCAGCAACACAGCCAACGGTGAAGATAGCTTCACGGCAAAGCGCTGGAGTATAGCTCTGGACTCGGTTCGGTCGCTCTCGGAACTCAACGTACTATAGAGGCTCTCCACGGAAAACAACAGTACAAGCAGAGTTTATATACCTTTTGGCCTGCCTTCGAGAACATTCTGGACCAACCAGTAAGAATTCGTTTTAGAAGGTACTCGATTCGTCTATTACATATCGCCTATTTTGTCTCCAAACGGGCGATTTTGCGCCATATATGGCAAACCTGTATTACCATGCCATTATCTGGCAACCCTAAACCCGCTTTGCGGGGAAGCTATCTTACCGCAGCTGGGCATTTCGCCACAGCACTAAAATTAATTATTAGTTAAAAATAAATAGAAAAACCTCACAAGCTAAATATCTTACATTTTGCCAAATGACAGCAGACTGCTTCGCTGGAGATATAAGATATTTTATTTCGAACTGCGTTGTCACTTCTTGGTTTTTTTTAAATAAAATTTCGCAAAATTTGCTTAAAATATGAAAAAAAAAAGCAAACACAAATTCAAAATTCGGGTTGCTCATGTTCAGTTGGAAGACTTCGTGTATCAAGAATTAGGTAAATCTAGGTGTAGTTGTTTTACTACAGTGCGAGGAACATGCATATTTACATAGAGATTCATTACATGCATACATTTATACTTACAGAACATTTGGTGGCAATGATTTGAAGAATGATACGGACAAAAAATGTATTTCGGGACTAATAGTATTTCTTGCGCTCTTTAAAAAATATCTGATGCGGATACTACATGATTTCTTTGCACGTAATATTAAATTATACGCATTTTTTGCTGCATTTTATTTAAACTGATTTCCTCGAAATTCATTAGAGATATATTTCTCATTCAATTAATTCAGTTCTCTCTTCGCTGCAAGGAAAACATGCATAAAACCTCAAAATATCTACAATAAAAATTGATACAGAAAAACTTAAAACACCAAACCAGTTAAACATTAAAAAAAAGTTTTTCATTTAACTAGTTCTAGAAAACAAGAATTCGACCAAAGGCAAGAAGCATTTTCCGGTGCACAAACGAAAGTTACCCCAGCACACGCACCGATCCGACGAACACGAGAACACGCGCCGGGTATGTCATACCCGAATAAAAAAAATTGTAAATTAAAAATTTGCCGAAAAAAATTAATCGGTTTTTTAAAAGAAATTAAAATGTAAAACCAAGTTAATACTTCATTTTAGACAAAATAGGAAACAATAAGGAGAGGAAAAATTATTTACTTACAATTTTTTGAACATTGTTTACAAAATGAGGTCATATGTTCCATACATATACTTTTGCTACAATTTTCACAAATGAATCTAGTCTTTCTATCTTTTTCTTGGAGCACTCTGTACACCTCTTGTAAGTCATTTTAGGTTTTTTGGAGGGCGGTCCATTGTTAACATGTTCATCGGTGGTCAGTGTTCGTCCAGAATCAGGAACCACAGATGCTCGTCGTCGTTCATTTTGAACATTTTCTATTAGCTGCATCCCTAAGGCTTTGAGAAAAGTACTCATCCCGTTCACGAGTGAAATTTTTCTCGTATTGAATCAATATAAATATTTGTATTATCAACAACGTTTTAACATTTTAACATATCTTCATCGATAAGCAATGACAAGGACTCTAAAGGTGTTGAGACGTCTTTAGAATACTTTGTATTTCCAGGGAGTTTAGTTATAATATTTTTGGCGCCAATTCTAACATTAGTCCGGAATTTATTTTTGTTCCATTTTACTCCATTTTTTCCCAACATAGAACTCATTGCTACATTCCAGAGTTTCTGTATCTGAATCACTACTCTATATGGATGAATCATGATTACTAATTATATTCTTCGTCATCAACATCTTCCTACTGTTTCAAGGAGATTTCTCAATCTTTTCATCTCTTCATCGTAAGGAATATACGGCGCCATGCTTACAACTCAAGAAAAACTTATACTAAAAGCTTGAAAACGAGAAGTGCGAAGTGACTCACTGAGAAATGCCAGTACACGCGCGGGTATGACATGCCCGAACAATGCTGGTCCTAAAAAACCGTTGCACTTGCCACCTCAGGAATTTCCCCCATTTAAGTATGTGACCTTGAACTCAGCTACACCAAGTTTCGTCCTTTTATGAAAGAATGGGCGAGAAATATACAAAAAGAAAAATGCACATGGGTATGACATACCCGCGCGTGTGCTCGCGGTTAACTATTGTCCCACTCGCAAAAAGAATGAGGTGCAGGAACTCATGTCTTTTTGCGAGTTCATTTTTGACTTTTCACTTTTGGAAGTTCAAATATAAAAATATGGCGCTATTGTAACAAAAGGCCTAGCCGCACTTAACAACTTTTAAATGTTTATAATTCTAAATTGTTGCATGCAGATAACTAAAGGCATGAAAACCTTAACCGGAAGATAAGACCAACATAATTCAATCATTTTGAAACCATAAAATGCACAATTTGCCAACATATAAGAATAAAAAATGAGCTTACGGACCCGATAACAGAGTATATATTATATATATATCTATATATAAACTTTGGTGTGGCCGATTGCAATTAAAAAGGGAGGTGCCACAACTGTGGGGTCCGTGACACTTAGCCGAAAACCACTTAGCCAACGAGACACTTAACCGACACCAGTTAGCCGACAGGTGACAGGTGACAGCAGGACAGGGCACCCGGACGGCTTTCTATGACTACTCGGGTATTACCCCGGCCCTGCTAGCCGACAGGAAATTTGGCCGACAGGTCATTTAGCCGACACGAGCGGTTAGCCAACAAGGACGCTTAGCCGACAGACATTTAGTCGAGAAGGACAGTTAGGGGACAGGCATTTAGCTGACAGATCATTTAGCCGACACAGGGAGTTATTTTTCGCGGCTCTGATTTTCCTTTGGATTACACATATTGCTTTTCTGGAGTCTGCCCTTTGATGCTTTGGTTCGTTGAGTAGGCTGATCTCCAGTCGTAAGTCTGTCTATTTTTATTCTCGGCATGGCTCTATTTTTAAAGTATCAGACTTGGAGAATTTAAATTTTCAAGCCACTGTGGAAAGATCGTACCATTTGGTACAGCCTTATTGTAAAGACTTTAAAATACCTAATGATGAATCGCTACCTAATGATAACGATTCACTCACGACGTTAGATAAGCTTAAACTACTCTTAGTAGAAAGGCATAACTAGTTAATAGCCCAGGTACCCAACCCTGAAATTACAAATGCAATCAAAGACACAAAGGATTGTATAGCAGCCATCTCTATCGTGATGGAGCAAGAAAAATTAAAAGTGAATGCTAATTTGAGTCAGCATACTAGTAATGAAACCCATAGCTTAACTCAAAATCCTGTTAACTCAAGCCAAAATAACACCAATGCTCCCAGCAAACAAAAATCTGATATTGGTTCTATTAAAAGAACCCCTAGAAATAAATCTCTTAAAAAGAAAATCACTACTGATGAACAGGCGTTTAAAATCCCTGCAAAACTCACAGACGTACCCTATCTCAGTCAAAAGTTGTATCTCCTGTACACAAAAACAAATTCCAAGATCTCGCCGATGAAGATCAAATGGAGCAAGAAAATAACGAGGGAAATACTTTCATATTTCCTAAGAAACCTGCATCTCATATTCCTGTAATTGTCCTTGAGGACTTTACGTCCGATTAAGATAAGTTAAAGGAGGAAATTGAAGGATACCCTTAAGATTAGGCTCTTGGACGTTGACAATCATCGTACAGTCACCAAATTACTCATAGACCGAGTGGTTTCTTTTCACACGTTTAAAATCAATTCTGAAAAACCGATTAACGCACTCATTAAAAAGCTCCCCTGAGCGTCTAACATAGAATTCATCAAGAAAGAAATAGAAGACTTAAAAATCCCAGTCACGCGTGTAAAAAAAAGACCCGTTTTGAAGACGGAACTGTTAAGAAATTACCCCTATTTTTGGTGAAAACCAA